GCCATCTGATCTTGTTTGGTTGAGTTCTGGGTCCTCTGTTCGTGTTTTTACAGCCTGTGCATGCTGGATAAGCCCGTGGGTGCGTCCTGTACCTGGATCCTGCTGTTTCCCCAGTCGGCCACGATGATGTTGCCGTTGGCGTCCACGGCCACGCCGGTGGGGGCGTTGAACTGGCCGTTCCCCTCCCCGTTGGAGCCGAACTTCAGCAGGAGCTCGCCATCAGGGGTGAAGACCTGACGGCACAGAAGGCGTCACAGATCTCAGAGGGAAGCCCTGGTTCTTTGCTGTGGCTCTACGGGGGCCGACGGGGGAAAAAACCCACCTTCACTGAGTGGTTGTGGAAGTCGGTTATGATGATCTCGTTGTTCTTGTTTACGGCTGCAAAGTGCGGCCCTTCAGGACGGAAACGCAGACAAACATCAACCAAACAAGTCTCTCTACATCAGTGTTTCCCAACCCTGGTCCTCAAGGCACACTGCCCTGCATGTTCTCCAAGTTTCCCTGCTCCAGCACACCTGATTCTAATGAATGGGACTTTAGCAGCTTTCTGCATAGCTGAAAAGTCGTTCCATTAATTATAATCAGGTGTGCTGGAGCAGGGACACTTGGAAAACATGTAGGGCAGTGTGCCTTGAGGACCAGGGTTGGGAAACACTGCTCTAAATCACTGCTGCCCATGGAGGGATGGATGGATGATGAATAGATGGATGGATTAATGTTTGGATGGATAGTAAGGAACACAAAATAGAATAGCAATAAAAGCAGAAAAAGAAATCTTATCTACATAAATTATTCAATGCAACGCTTTTTAGGACCAGTGATAAATAACCAGCATTACAAAATAAACTGTGGTGAACTTAAAGTGGGGGCGGCACGGTGGTGTGGTGGTTAGCACTGTCGCCTCCCAGCAAGAGGGCTCTGGGTTCGAATCCCGGGGGAACCAGGACCCTTCTGGGTGGAGTTTGCATGTTCTCCCTGTGTCTGCGTGGGTTCTCTCCGGGTTCTCCGGCTTCCTCCCACAGTCCAAAAACCTGCATGTTAGGCTGATTGGAGATTGGGGAAATTGCCCTTAGGAGTGAATGTGAGTGTGAGTGGTTGTTTGTCCTGTGTGTGGCCCTGCGATGTACTGGGGACTGTCCAGGGTGTACCCTGCCTCTCGCCCGTTGACCACTGGGATAGGCTCCAGTTCCCCCCGTGACCCCATCAGGGAATAAGCGGTATTGATAATGGATGGATGGATGGATGGAACTTAAAGTGTGCAATGAACCAGAAAAAGGCTTCATCAAACAGGGCAACGATCTGACTTTTTCCTCTTTAGACAAGATTTATTTCTGTGACTAGGACCTTCTAAATTCTGGATCCAGCTATGAGTCCTTCATTAAGCGCACTGAGTGAGTTCAAAGGTTCATCAACTGATTTTCTAATCATTTTTCCTTTCAGATACTTTCAGTTTCTGCGGAAACGCTCCCACCGACCTGCGAACTGCTTGTCTCCGTTGCCTCGGCTTCCGAACTTGGTGATGAGCTTGCCGGTCAGCTGGAAGATGAAGACGGTGCACGCCTTGTTGTCAACCACGATCACATGGCCGTTCTGGTCCACGGACACGCCCTTCGGCCCCATCAGCCTCCCGGAGCCCAGCTTGGCCTGTTTGACAGCACACAGCGAGCTGAGATGAGATGAGCAGAACCCAGAGAGCAGCAGCTCTAACCGAAGGACTTCCGGGTTACATTTACATTTCTGCTTTTATCCAAAGGGACTTCCAAAAAGAGGCTATAACATCCAGCTCCACTCTTAGCTCAGCTTGATGCTACATGCTAGCAGAGGGTTTAACATTCAGGCTTTAACATTCAGCTAGAACACAGATTCCACAGCTAGCGTTGATGCTACATGCTAACAGGAAGAGAGTTTATGTTCATGCATTTGGCAGACGCTTTTATCCAAAGCGACTTACAGAGTAGACACAATATTACATTTCTCATCACTATGACGATAAGCTATATAGAGGAAAAAAACTGATCAGAGTCAGTGGTGACAGCAAGAGAAAGAGGTAGAGGGACTACAGAAGGAGTTGTGGGGAGGGTAGAGGTACGGGTTAGGATTAGGATAGGAGAGTCTATCTATCTATCTATCTATCTATCTATCTATCTATCTATCTATCTATCTATCTATCTATCTATCTATCTATCTATCTATCTATCTATCAGATGCTTTTTTCTGTCTTTGTCTTCCTAAAGGGTCTTTCTCCTCTTTGGAGAAAGATCAGGACCAGAGATACTCTGGGAATAGCTGGGTTTTTAACGGTTTCTTGAAGAAGGAAACAGAATCTGATGCTCTGATGGTGCTTGAACTTACCTTGAACTTGCCCTCACAGGTGAAGATGCTGACCCACTTGTTGTCGTAGTCCGCTATGATGATGTCACCCGTGGGGTGCACGGCCACGCCCGTTGGCCTCTGCAGCTGGCCAGGGGACCGTCCGCGCACCCCAAAACGACTCTTGAATTCCCCCTCGTTGGAGAATATCTGGAGACAGGACACATTTGTGAGTGTGCGAGCTAAAGCTGGAGTCAGAGCCCCATATTTATGAACCTGAGCTCCCCCCCGCCCACACCTGAACACACTGGTTGTTGCTGTCAGCTATCAGTATCCTGCCGGTGGAGGAGGCAGCCACTCCTTGAAGGTTGGTGAACTCCCCTTTGTTCCTCCCTTTAGTTCCTGAAGAACAAGCCAAAGAAAGCTGATCATCTGTTTGGCTTAGGGTCAGAGTCAGAGTCAGAGGGTTATTGTCAGAGGGTTATAGGGTCAGAGGGTCAGGGGTAGAGGGTTAGATGTTTGGGGTTAGAGGGTTAGAGGGCTAGAGGTTTATAGGGTTATAGGGGTCAGAGGGTTAGAGGTTTATAGGGTATAGGGGTCAGAGGGTCACAGGTTTAGAGGGTTATAGGGGTAGAAGGGTTAGGGTTAGAGGTTTAGGGTTAGGATTAGAGTGTCAGGGTTAGTGTTACAGGGTTAAACTAAACAGGGTTAGGGTTCAAGTATCTGCTTCACTTGTAACCAGATTCCTGTTTTTTTAGGTATGGTTTATTATATTTTACAACATTCAGACGCTGAATCTGTGCCGTAAGAAACCCGTTATGCACGAGA